TTGTGAACTTAAATACTGGGCTCCATTTGTACTCATTGGGGACGATGTTACCTTAGACATGTTTCTGAAACCAGAACAGACAGTGATGCCTGACACCGGTGCTTTGCAGGGTAAGTAAACACCTTTTTACCACATCATTGAGCACAAGCAGATATGACTCATTTTCCTACAAATTTAAGAAGAAAAAACAGCATGAAATCTATCATTGAGAGCTATACAGTCGAACCTGTATTAAGCAGTCAATCAAGTCATTGCCCAGCTCGATCTTATCAGTCATAGCGGCTTTAAAATAGATATGGTCTTGATAAGAGAACATCGGTCCTGGATCTAAGGACAGCCTTTGATGAGGTAGATTGACAACTTTCAATGACAGGATATTGGCTTTAGAGGCTAAGTTGTAGCGTGGTTTAAAAAAATATTAATAAATACCAACCGACTGACAATCGTACGAAAGCGGAGGAGGACTTTAGACTTCAGACTTCAGGCTTCATTCTTCAGACCTCGGACTTCAGACTCCAAAAAATTTTTTTTTATAAATTGTCGGAAGTAGGAAGTCTGAAGTCTGAAGTCTGTTGTTTGAAGTCCCTCCTCGGCTTTCGCGCATCAACACTCGGGTTTTTTTTTTCAATACACATAAACGACCTTGCCGATAAGACTCGATATTCTACTATACGAATATAAGCTGATGATACCAGTATAGCGTTCACTGACCGCTGCATCCCTGAACTGCAACACTATATAAATATTCCGATTTGTAACAACGCCTCCTGGACTGGCTGAAAACAATTTGATTTTCTTCGAAGGTTTTGAATTGGAGTCTATCTCTTTCTTTTATTTATTAATAACAATATAGATACATCACAATCAAATAGTTTAGGAACGATTCTTAAAAATTAGAGCTCATTTACTGCGATCTTTGTCGTCCGCCACCACCAACGCACACTCTGAATATTTTCTAGACAGCCTGATTTCAAGAAACAAAGTAGACCACGACAGCTTTCAACAGCTATGCCATCCACAAACAATAGGGTCTGACGTTAGAAAATAATCACCGCTAGATGATAAAGTTCTCACTTACCCTAAAAATTTTACATAACATTCTTAAGGAGTAAAACAGCCTTTCCATGGCCACAGTCCTTCTCCCATATTTCTCTACAGCTTCTTTTTGTTTTCCTTTCAGACCATGCAGAAGGGGACGCGGAGGACAGTTCAGCTTCGCACCCTGTCGCTGTTGAGCCAGAACGACAGAGAAACCAACGAGACCTGATTAAGGTGTAAATGGCGCGAGACCAGGTTGCACAAACTAGGCTTTTGGAATTATATTCGTCTTATGGGTTCACATTAACTAAACAATTAAGATGTGTGTGATGACTCTGCCTATCAGATTTTACTTGCATAAATCACCAGGCCCAAAATGACAGTGGTATAATGTGCTGCGGCCAGTAGTCAACAATTTAAAAAGCAGTTAAGAAATAGATATTTTTAATAATTAGTACCAGTATTGTAAATATTTTTATTACTTCTTAATGTTGTGAAAGACCTGTGACAATCGACTTGAGAAAGTTACCTATGTACATGTATCTATCTATCAATCAATCAATCCATCCATCTATCTATCTTTTGACCTATCTATCTATCTATCCATCCAGCTATCCAGCTATTGATCTGTCTATCTATCTATCTATCTATCTAGTTATATCCAACCGAATAAAATTCATTTTACTTCGTTCTTAGAGCGAAAAGGTATCAGATTTCGCGTGTATATGTGGGTGTAGCATATAAACTATCACTTTTCTATTAATAATCACCCAATGGTTTTGTTTCTAACCGATACTGAAAATCTGTGGGGTTTTCCGTTCTTGAAGACGACAGACGACTTTCGGCTTCTTTTGACCTGAACTTATCCAGGTTACTCCAAGCCTCTCGAGTGCCTCCACCAGGAAAACTCATGCGCGCTATTTTTCTTTGTTTAGAAATCATCACAAATTACAAGTTTTGCGCTTTTTCAGTCTTTTGGTTTTTATCAAGGACCTTTTTATCCTTTTTTTTTAAGTTTAATGATGAGAAATTGACTTATCTTTCGAAAAAAATATGGAACTCAAAAATATGGTTCTTCCTGTCCTCAAATAAATATGTAATTATACACAACTTATCTATTCACTTATTCTTCTATCAGCTTTCTTTCGAGGTCCTTAAATAACTTCTAGTATTCAGTCTCTTTAGCTTCTTTATCAAAGGCAATGGAATAATTAGGTAAATCCTTTGCAGGTGATTGACCCGCTTTAACCAGTAATCTGCTAATGGCAGGTCAATTTACTCTTAAATTTTGTGATGAAATAAGTGAAGTGTATGTAACTGTTGTTTTCGTGAAACGAAAGCAAAGAAACGAGAATTAAGGGAAGCATATCTGTATTATATCGCCAGGAAAAGTGAGTAAACGATCTAACTTCTGAAAAATTGTTTGTAAATGAGCATGAACCTCTTGAAGCAGAGACTGTAATAACCATTTTTAATGCATAACTTAAGAGTTTAAGAAGCAGTCATCAGTTAAAAGTTTTATCTTTGGTTCCAACTGGGAGAAAAGAGCAACAAACGTCAGAAAACAATTTTGCTTAGGAATGTAGCTGACTAACGGAAAGTTCCCAACGGTTTTTCTTAAAAAAACTGGGTCGAATCTCAGCTATAATTCTAAATGGTGTCAGTAGCCAACAAAAGACCAAAATCGGCATCGAAGGCCCTTGCATTTGGTGCTGCAATAGCCTCACGTTTCCTCGCCGCTCATGGCATGGTATAAGCCTTTTCGTCTTATTTTCCTCTTATTTTCCTCACCATTCCTCCAATCTTTGAAAAGTGTTAATTGTTTAGTAAAAATTTCAGTAGGTATGAAATAAAAACATCATAGCATGGAAATTTCTGGGACGATTTTTATTCACTCGCTGCGTTGCATCGTAAATAAAAATATTTCGTGCACCTTTCCCATGAAATAATACTTACTTGCCGAATGGGCCTAAGACTTAATTGTGAGTGTGACTTTGAAGATTTTCTTGAAAAATCAGCTCGATATGTTTGTGCATGCAACCATTCCTAACACCAACTAGCCACTCGTCTGCTAAGCACAGCTTGAAATATAGCTCATCCAGGAATATGCATCCTTAACACCTAAGAACGTAAGAATTCATCCTGCTTGACAAAGCACGACAAAAAAGTATTCAAGAATATTTTAGAGCTTTGCACCACGTCGTCTCCCTCATTCCCTTTATTCCCTCTATTGCGTTGTTTTTTCATTTATTGGTTGCTATTTAATTGCAGATTAATAAAGCGGAAAAGAAGTCTGAATGTCAGTTACTCGAGAATTCTCTTCTGGGGGTGTCAGTCTAGCTCACCCAACCAAGGTAATAAAGAC